TCAATGAAATAATTCACTTTCACTTATGTTTAGGAATATGATGTTTAGGATAAAATGAAAAATAAGAATATGACAACTATATAAATACTTATCGTTGCTTTGCATAACAAAATGATAAAAATATTTATTTAATTCCAGTTAAAAGATTTTATATTATACTATATTGTACTGAATATATGCAATGATATTTTAAAATAAAAAAATTTTTGTCATTAATTCATTCATGAATTTTGATTCACGATTTTTTGCATCTCTTACATTTTATCATTTAAAATCGACTTTAATTGCTATATACAATATATATATATATATATTTTTTAATCAATTTTGCACCAAAGCTTCTTATTAATTTAAAATTTCAATTTTATGATTTCGTAAAAAAAAGAATTAGAATAATTCACAAATTGAAAAAAATAATATGCACGAAGATTAAGATTTATTTGCACGAAAATATATCAGTTTCATAAAATGCACATAGTGAAATGCAATGATATTGAAATAGAAGTGCACGACTCACCTTTTTTTAAAATTTTTTAAAATTAGCAGCGTGCATTAAAAACTTGCTACCATATCATGCAGTGTATGCTAAATGTATATGTCATGTTTCATTAAAGTATTATATATATTCAGGAAATGTCAACACCCTGGTAAAATAAATATAAATGGAACAAGTGTTAATTGTAATATAATTCGTTATTAAATAAGCGATACAAACGATATCTTTTTTCATAAAAGTAATTATCTCTGAGGTCGAATTCTTTTGCAATAATTTTCTTTGCGATAATCTTAGATGATGAAGAAAATTTTTGTACAATAATAACTCACACATTACGTACTAATTAATATATTATTTATATATATTTATCTATATTCATATTTTAGATATTTTCATTTTCATTTTTCTAAAAATTTGTACGTTCAAAAAATATCAATAATATTTTAATATATAAAAATTAGAATAGAAATATTAGATGATTTAAATTCATTTCAAATTTAATGCAAATAGGAAGAATGAGAGAATAATTGTATGAGGATTCATAGATTTTGAATAAATATTCGTATTTATTTTATAAATATACTTACTGAGATTCAATTTCGATTACAATTTATCATCTTTTCAAAGTATTAAATGAATTTATTATTTCTTATCATGCATTCTACAATATTACTGATATTTAATTAGCTTTTCTCATCAAATATATATGTATTTTCATTTAATATAGCTCTGCTAATACATTATATTAATCGATTTGGCTCTTGTCATGATTACTGTAATTCGACGAATAAATGGTGCAATATTAAAGTACGTATATATCCGCGAAGAATGTTAATATGCTAACTAATGAAATTTAATATATCTAATTATGATACCAGTTATGATCAAGTTCCATCAATGAAATATAACGTTAATTTTAACTGAAACATAATGCTTAATCAACGTTAACATGTTTAATTAAATTACTTCATTATTGAAAAAAATCTTTTTTTTTTTTGATGTTTACAACTTTCCACAAATTTTAATTCTATTTTTCTATGTAACAATATGAACAAAATGAATTAAAAAATTATTAGAATCAATGTATATTAATATATCAATATTATAATTAAAAGTATTTTTTTTTTTTGCTAATTAAAAACGAAAAAAAGGATTGCACGTAAGATTAGTTAAATATTACGAATGCAATTCAAAGAAAATTGAGAAATTCTGTTTTAAACCATACACAATATAAACGAAATATTTATCTAAAAATAACAAAAATTAAACGCAACAAATAACTCTGTTACATAATTACATGTAATTATTGATTTCTCCAGAGCTCTAATCTACCCTATACTACGCCATTAACTTCAGTAATTTGCGTACAATATACACCTATATATGTTCGTGATATTATTTAGTTCCTCTAACACAATTGAAATTACAAGTACGATGTTTCTTTTAATAATTATTATGGAATATTTAAGAAATCGATTAGGTTCATTGAATTAATTAAAATATTATTTATTTTCTCGATTAATTAAGCTCTATTAATTGACTCTTGTCCGTTAAATTGAAATTCGCTTCGATCAGATGAACATTAATTGGAATAACTATTTTTCATAGCTCATTTAGATCTGTAAAAGATAAAAATTTCCAGGAATGAATGACTTTAAGACCTGAAACGGTTTTCTTAAAAACTGTATACTATCACGATAAGCAGTCGTAATAAACCACTTGAACACTGTGTATTCTGAATCACGATGACCGTTGTTTTTTTCACTTCTACTCGTGGCTACCTTGTTCTTGGTAGATATCATTAAACCAGTTCAAAACCGAGAACTTAATTAGGCTTATAAGATTTCACGGAATACAGTTGATACATCTGTATAATTGTTGTTATATTTATATTCAAGAATAGGCAACATTATTAATATTAATATAATTATAATTACATTATAATTATTTTATAATATTAAATATATATAATATTAAATATATAACCTTATCTATTCTATTTAATTTATATAAGTAATTAATCTTCAATTCTTTATCATTTTTACATTAATTATTAATTATATTGTATTTGTTATATAAACTGAATGATAGATTAATTCATATAGAAAATTATATACTCAACAATTTTCTGAACAGCAGAAAATGTCACTTATTGCGATGTATCAAATATAAAGACATGGAAAAATTAAAGTCAACCATAGATGAATAATTATAGTCTGATTATTATTTAATTTATTATTAATCATTTGTTTCAGAAAAAATAAAATAAAAAAAGAAAAAATTATTAATTATTATTTTTAATTAATTATTAATATTAATAATATATTACTAATATTATATAAACTATATATATAAACTAATCTTAATTATTATGAGTGCTTATAGCAGTAGAATCAGAATCTTTCATTACTTCAATAAGGTACATTTTTGTTGTACTGTATCATAAATTTTTGCAAATATGAAACTTATGTATACACATTTTTCTTTCTAATTATATAATTTAAAAGTAAATATTTCAAATGAAATAAAATTTATAATTATATATATTAACATTTTGTATGTAATTCTTTACACTCGAGAGATGACTTTCAGGTATCATTTGGTTTGATGCAATAACTCGACAGTGACAATATTTATTTATGTTTGATTTTTTTAGAATATTCATAAATAAATTTCTAAGTTCTTTGCGTATAAGAATTATGCAAATGATACTTAAAAATATTAAAATATAAGTTTTATAATTTGTATGTGAAATCATTTTAAATTAGTTGTAAAAAATTCATCGAACATGCAGAATATCTCGAGTCGTTGATCAAGCAAAAAAGGCCTTGAACGCAAACAGCTAATATTATATTACGAGCTTGAATAATTAATATGAAAGAAAAATAACATGAATGTGATGATTTTGTTTGAGACAAGATAGGAAGAAAATTAACGACTATTTTCTAATTTATACTTTTAAAAAAATCAATTAATTTTTATATTTTACATAATAATACCGATAATTTCTTTGAACTTGTTGATGTATTTTTCATCCATGGATTTAGAATATATCATGAAGAATAATATATAGAACGAATTAGAACAAATATATAAAATAAATTTCAGTACTATTATATGGTGAATTTTGTCTATATATATATATTTCCGATAGTATGCAATTCACTTATCAATTGTTAAACCCATCATGATATTAACCAATATGTACAAATGATGAACTAATCATCAGAATTGATAATTCACAAATAATAATTACAGACCCAATCTATAATCGTTCGAATGCGCAGAATGTGAAAATAAAGTATAAAACAACTTTTCAATTGTATTAAAATGAATCATTCAATGCTTGTCCAATCGACGCGTAACAGAAACATTTTTAAAATTTTTCGTGTTTACGTGCACACGATTAATGAGAAAACTAAAATTGTCAAAACTAAAGTTGTTCTTTGACGAACGAATTCTCTAACGTTCCAGGCCTTCAGAAATTGATCCTACTACATACTTGTGAACTTCTGAAACTCCCTGTGAAAACTAAATAGGAAGTTAAGTCCAATTTCCAGTTCACTGCTCTTGAAGTTGGAATTCTGTTGAGGACAGCGGGTATGTCGTGACACAATCTATGGTGAATTTAACAAATGAAATGCGTCGAACGGCGGCAACACGAACAAATTACAAGTCAAGAGTCGAAGAAAGTTTCCCGAGAGAAATTCGGTTAAACTGGCCTTCAACAGTAAGATTACTATCGAACTCGTTCTGTCAACTATCTAGTTGACCGAATAAGAGTCGAAAAGAAAATCACTCTCGGCAATTTTCAACAATAAAATCTCTAAGATGAGTTGAAAACTTTTAATTTTTAGTCCTGATTATCCCTCACGTATTTTGTTCCTCCAAATTCTAATTTACCGCTATTTGTGAATTGCACAAAGATGTTACCGTCATTTCCGAGAAATCGTTAACGCTCTTTACTATCTTCATACATTCCATAATTTCGTTCAGTTCTATCTTCTGAATATTTTACTGCTCTACACCTTGCAACACGAAAAGTGGGTCGTTTCACAATGTGCAATATTCTTCGAAAAATTTTATTTCTCTCTCCTACATTTGAAAGGTTTACTATTTGAAACTTTTTTTACTATTTTTTTATGACATAACGTTTCTTATCTTTGAAAATGATAAAAGTATAAAATTATTGTATTCTGTTGTAAATTAATGATTAATTTTGTGAATACTTATCTTTGAAATTTTTATATAAATAATTTATAATATTTTTAAATTTGTATTTTTGAAACTACGAAATATGTCGTGAAAATTAGAAGCAATAGTAAAGATAATTATAATTATAATTACATAAATATTAATGATATACTATAATGTTTATTAATAGCATTCAATAATATTGAAATTATTTTTTATGATTGCATTATTCGCTGATATAAATATATTAACTGTTTATTAATATACTGATTATTATATTATTAATAGATATACATTTTTTTTGTTTTAGTTACTGCAAATCATCCACCTCAGAGACCATGGATACCATTGACAAGACCGAATAGATCGAGACCAACGTGTAAGTGCATTTAATTATATAAATTTTTTATATAATTTTATATTGTATAATAAAATAATCTGTGAAATATGAATGTTCTTTAATTCTTATAAAAGTGATCTATTTGTAATTATATATTTCATTTATTGTAAATATTAAATAATATTTCAAACAATGTTTATTAGAATAGAATTATAATAGAATAAAAATTATCTTCTATAGAAATATTTAAAATGTTAAAATGTTTGAATGTAATCAATAAATTTTTTCAAATGTCACAAACCATTTAAAAATTATTACTTTTATTGATTTTATAAATATTTATTTAATAATTTACTTTTTGTTTTCAAAAGGTAATGTTTTTTTTATATAAAAATAATTGCATAAATAATTTCATAAATTTTAAATTTGCTTATTTACATTGTGGAGATCATTTTACATATTTATTTTAAGATATTGATTAATTTATAGATGTAAGATTAAAGAAAAAATACTATGAATAATGATATAATAAAATAAGAATAAAAAATCGAATGATATGTTTAGAAATATGCTTAAAAAAGAAACAAAAATTAAAAATTAAAATTTTAAAGCTTTTGCGATAATTAAAGAATTAATTTTATATTTTTATCTCTTACAAAAGAAATTATCTCTTACAAAAGAAAATTAAAATTTTTTTTGAATTAAAGGCAAATTTTTTTTACCATTAAAAAATAATTATACAATTCCAGTTTTTTATTCCATCTTAAAGCATATGCATTGGGTTAAAAATAATTATATCTCATTATATAATTATTATATAATTATATAATACATTTATATTGATTCTTAGAAATTTTTATTATATTCCATTAATTTAACAAAATTACAAAATTAATAATAAAGAATTTTTTATTATTATAAATAATAAAATAAAACCTATGGTAATAATATCGAAACGTTCAGGTTCAAGAAACTAATATTAATAATTCATAAAAATATTTTACTTTATTTAGAATTTAGTAATTTAATAAAATAAACGCAGTAGTAAACATGAACAAAAAAAATAAAACTTAAATTTTTATCTTACTGTATTAAAACAACTAATTTACTTTAAAAATTTGAAAATATATAAGACCTTTTGTTAGACAATTTTTATAATTAAAACATAATTCCATTTAAAGTGAAAACTTTTTAAAAACTTCATATGAATTTCTTACATATAAAAATGTCATAAATTATAATTTTTTGGACCGAGCACAGAATTACATAAAGAAATCTTTTCATAAATATGAAAATCTTCCTAGATTCGATATGCATGAACAAATAACAGACAAAAGATTTCTATGGCTCTTGGCGAGATTTTTATAGTACGAATAGGGACGTTTTCAGGTCACTGTATAGAGAGAACACCAGAGTTTATCTGCTAAATTTTTATGAAAACACAAGCATTGTTATCACAACGAGATATCAATCAAAAAAAGTAGCATAATAATTCTACGGATTTATCATCAATCTATAAAAATTTAAATTGAAAGCAAACAATGTAAAACTTTTCAATAATTCATTAAACTCTCTAAATCTCTTCTTTAAATCTAAAATCTAATATTTTCATTATTCTTCTAATTTTATTTTATAGGATAAAAATTACGAACATCTATTATCATTCTAGATTGTTTTATTTAAAATATATATATATAAAGTTAAATTTAAAAAATGTATAAATAAAATTCAAACTTGATTATATATGATATATGTGTGTAGAACAATTAAATAAATGATAATGTGAATAAAGACAGAAAAGAATTACTAAGAGAGAAAAGAAAAAAATACAATAGGTTAAACAAATAAAATAAATATGGAAGACTTTTACGAGAGCAATAAAAAAATAGAAAGGAAAATGTCAAATTTGAAAAAGTCAAGAAGAAAATGAATAAGATGGAAAAGTTAAAAACAAAAAAAAAGAAAAAAGAAAGAAAAGTATAATGATAAAAGGATTGGACACGCGGGAGCATGAAATAAGGAGGAAGTGGAAAAGTTTATAGAGATGGAACTGAAAGTTAACTATAAGATAGATTGAACTAGAATAGTAGAAACAACGAAACAATCGTTGCAAGAATAAAAAAGAATAATAAGGAAAAAAAAAATTTATTAATCGTAGTTTATATTCTAGTAAATATAATTGGCAAAAACAAAGAGAAACAATAAATGTAACACAAAGATAAAATATTAAAAAATCAAATATAAAAAAGGAAAAAAAAGAAAATAAACGAAGAATAGATCCAAAAATTAGAAAAATTATTATTTTGGAACATTGTAGGTTTATATAAGGATAAGAATTTTTTGATTTATTGAAGAATTCCAATTTGTGAGTTTGACGGAAAACGTGAATTGAAAGAAATAATTGGAAAAAGGTAAAAAACAGACTATTGAAAAGCAATATACACAAATGTCAATCAACAACAAAGACAAAAAAAAAACTAAGAAATGTTACAACAAATATTATAACAAGAATTAGAAGAAAGTAAAAGAGAAAAAATGAAAGAAAAAAGGGAATTGTACAAAAATTGTATAAAAAAATGTATAAAAGAAGATAATGATAAATGAAAAGATATAGAACAGATACAGATATATTGGAAAGAATAAAGAATAAAGAAAGGAAAGATATAAAGAAATTAAAGTAAAATATACAAATATAAATAACAAAACAATATACTAATATTGTTATTAATTGTTAAAGAGCAATTTAGAATAAAATGTGAAAATATGAAAGAATATAATAAGTATTGACTGAAGAAAAAGGAATATAGAAAATATAAATCGAATAAATGGAATTTGAATTATTTATAGAAGAAATGTTTGTAAAAATATAAGAAAAATTGAATATAGATTGAAACAATAATAAAAAAAAAATTATGAAAAGATAGTTAACTGATTAAGAATGTAAACATGAAAAAAAAGGAAGGAAAAAGAAAGAACGAAAGAAGAAATAAAAAATTTGATCAAACAAGTTTTATATGACAATATATACATATATTACAAATATGATAAATATTTTTATTAATTGGTGAATTTAAAAATATTAACAAAAAATTTTAAAAGTTATTAATTTTATCTTTAAAATAAATATAAGGAATAATAATAAATAATAAAAAATATATTTTTATTTATTAATAAATGAAAAATCTTATCTTGTAATAATAATAATATTACAATCAATAAAACTTTAAGTATTGTATATGTAATTGAATCTTTTATTTTATTATTTTCTTTAAATTTTTATTATTATTTCGTTATTATATTATTATTCATCTCATTAACATACAAGTTCACTTGATACAGTTATAAATTGCAGTTTGTTCAAGTCTTAATAATCGAATAACAACAAACTAATAGATTTTTTTGAAGACTTTGATTGTTATAATACCGTTATCTTTGCCTATTTTTCATCTTGATCCCGAAGAAACACGTAGAATTATTTGAAATTTGCTGGTCGTGATAAGTCAGTACGTGCAACAACGCGGAATGAGACTAACGACTATGCCAGCAGGACCGTGCAAATTACTTCTTGCACTTCTCACGACGACCCTGACAATCATAATCATTATAGGCTGTGCCCGAGCAGTCGTTGCATGTATTCTTTGGTAGACGAAGTAATTATGGATCATTATCATTCCTACGTTTATAACAGCACAATTAGACTCTTATTAGAATTATTGTTATATGTGTAATCATTACTATTGTCACTTTCATTTTTGTTACAATCAGTATGATTAATTCAGTTTCTTTTATTAATAACTTTATTATTGTTGTTACTTTATTATTATATTTATCATTGTTATTATTTTTTTAAATAAATATGTGATACAAGAAAGAAATTATTAATAATTTTAAATTATTGATTGAAACGTATCATCAGTAATTTTTTGAGTAAACAAAAACAAACGTCAGATTTTCTTTTATATTTCAACAACAGAAAATTTAAAAATACAGGATAATATTGTATAATTTATTATGTTAGAGATATCATGTTGTTTCATCTTAATATTTAATTAGTAAATAAAATATTTTTTTATATATAATAAGTAATTAACAAAAATAAAAAATATGGTATAAATAAAAAAAAATTTTTGATAATTTTTTATAAAAATATAAGCATAAAATCTGTTTTATCAATATGAATACATTATTTGATAAAAAAGAGAATACAATGAGAAAGCGGATCTAAAACTTCAATAATAAAATCTATTCTTTTGAATCTATTTATTTGATTCTATTAGTTTCTATTAGTTCATTCTATTAGAAAATTATCGTTTTTCAAAAATCTTTTTAATGCAAACAACAATAAAGAAAAATATGATAAATTTTAAAGTAGAAATAAAACATAGTATACATTATTAAAAAAAATAATTTTTAATATACTTTAAACATATATTAATTTAAAACATATTATAAACTCAGAAAACAAATTATATTTAATACTTTACTAATATTTAACTTTTTCAAAAAATTGTTATTTTAATTATTTTAACTTAAATTTCTTAAATATTCAAGAATTTTTATAACATAAAAATTTACTTTCCTTCAACACTTTACTCAACATTATTTAAATATTTAAAAAATCTGTAAAAGTCTTATTTTCTAGCATCTCTTTTATATACTCAAAATATACATGTATATTTCAAAATATACATTTTTATTATATACATTTTTGTATCATAAAAAGAAATAGAAGTTTATTGGTCATCTAATATTTTATAGATACAAGATAGAATACATGTACCAACTATTGAAAATTTTTAATATATATTATAGTATTATTTTAAAAGAAAAATAAATGGAATAAATAGTATATATAATAATTAATACTTTTTATATAAAAAAAAATATCTATTTTAGTTTCCGCTTATTTATTATTCATGCATATAATTACTTATTCCAAAGACTTGAATTTAAAAAAGACATGTTAATGATGTCATAAAGTTACATTGTAACTCGGTATGAATAAAAGTAAATGAACGAGAATTGAAGACAAATGTGATCGATAAAACCAGATGCATTTAACACGAATTCTCTTTCGTTGGCTAACAGGCACTTAAAATTTCGAAGCAAAAAATACATCCTTTATCAAAAACCGGGTCGCAATTACGACGATACAAAGTAGATCGAGAGCTGCAACATATCGGAATAATAAAGTAGGCTTTCCTCGTCTGTGAATCTGCTCGCGTCAATGTGATGAACATCAACAGCGAAAAAAGTTCTCCCTTTAATCGGTCGAGTCTTGTTCCGCAAGAGTAAAGCTAAAAGAGGCAGTCGAGCTATCCATTACAGATAATTACAAATGGTACGATAGGCTCTGTTATCCACAGAGAAAAAGTGGTAAGAATTCTACATTCGAAGAGAGTGAAATCTTCAATTTTTAAACATGAAAATCTTCCCCGTTTAAAATGTTTCAATTGTAAATGAATGATTATATCTTTCTTATTAACAATTTATTCGTCACTTTACAAAAATAATGTAATAAAAATATATAAATAATATAATAATAAATAATAATATAACAATATAATAAAACCGATAAAGTTATAAAAAAAACTTCCTTTTCAATGATTTCTAGATATGTTATATAGAAGATTTTGAACATTTTTCTATATATGTATCAATAGTTGGTCTTAATATATAAAAAAAAATTATTACTATTATATATAATTTTTTCTATACATACACATCTGTGATAAAATATGCATTAGCCATTATTATTATTATTATTACGATTTCTATTCATTAATTCTTTTAAAACATATAAATATATCATGATAGTTGATTCTCAAAATGTATAATGGATGAGCTAAAATCATTACACTTATTATAGTATTATGTTTTTAATACAGAGTATGAGAATTTTTTCTACAATTAATTTTTTTTACAATTAAAAGTAACATATGGTTATGAAATATCACAAAATCAAAAAGTAAATAATAAAAATCAAAATAATCATATTAGGCAGTATAATGGCAATATAATAGATAGCATAAAAATATATCTTTTTTTTTTCAATAAATGCTTTAATTTTTAAAATCTATTATAAAGTTGAAGAACATCAATTTTTCGCTTAATTCTTTATTTATTCTAAGAATTGACAAAGATAAAGAATATTATAAACCATTTTAACGAAAATGTTTAATTGACCCTAATAAAGAATTATATTTATATTCAAAAATTATTGTAATAGAATAATATGGCTAGTAAAAGTATAAAACAAAAATAAAATTTAATATTTTATAATAAAATCATTAAAATTTGATTCTTTCATCAATTCGTTACAAATTATTCATAAAATTCTATATAAAAAAAGCGATTTCTAAATTCAATAATGTTCAACATAGTAGCAAAAAAAAATGTATTATTATACATGATAAACAACTATATAAATTTTATAATTTCTTTTTTAATTTCTGATAAAGAAAAAAAAAGAATAAAGCAATTAAAATATAGTTGTTATATGTTAATAATGATAAATATTTGTTTGTTTTTATTAAATTTTATTTTTAAATAAATTAAACGCTTCTATCACATCCATAATTATGATATGTGTCGTTTGTTACAGGTATATTCACAGTAATGTGTTATAATGTGCTGTGTGACAAATACGCGACAAGACAGATGTACGGTTATTGTCCAAGTTGGGCGCTCGATTGGGAATATCGAAAGAAAGGAATCCTCGACGAAATACGACATTATGCCGCGGATATAATCAGCTTGCAGGAGGTCGAGACGGACCAATTCTATAATTTTTTCCTGCCAGAACTTAAACACGATGGTTACGATGGGATCTTTTCTCCAAAATCTCGAGCGAAAACAATGGCGGAGAATGACCGTAAATACGTTGACGGCTGCGCTATATTTTATAGGACAGCTAAGTAAGTTCAAGATATATATTTTTAAGAATTTATTTTATGTTTTGTTTGAATGATATTAAACTCTAATTCTAATATTTTTCAACTATTCTTATGAATATAATAACTTATGCATATAAAAATTAATTAGATACTTATTACATACCATTACATTTGTTTATTTATAAACAAATCCTATGATTTTCGTTTTTTGAAATATATCTTTCTGATTAATTTTCTAATTTTGCAGCAAAAAAAAATAAAAGTTCTGTTGTAAAGAAATCAGTAATGAGTATTCTTTTAATTTTTATATATATTTTAATATATATTTATTTTGAATGATTATTGATTCTTATTGAAATAGAAATCATTATATAATCTTATTGAAATAGATCATTTAAAATTTTGAAATTCTTGATTTTCGAATGATCGATATGAATACAGATAAAAGCAGTTTTTTTTATTAACATTGGAATGTTGGATTCTTTTATGCACTTTAAATTTTACTATTTAAAATTTTGTTTAGGACTTGTTGAATCATATACATTCATACAAAATTTGTTAATGGCGATTTTGATAGTTTTTACATACATTATTTCTGATTTTTTCACAGTGAATTAATTTAGTAATCTTTTGAACAGCTTTATTCGCTGATTCAATTTCAAAATCTAAGTCAATTTCGATAAATTTTTTTAACAATAGATTTCCAGAAATATAGAATGATAACATGCTAGCCACAATATTATTTTTATATAATATATTATATTTTTTATATATAATAATGTTTTTCTGAATCTAATATTTTGTCTAATCCAATTCAGTTCTGTCATGAATTAGTTGAATATTAAAAATAGTTAATAGTAATTTGATAGTTTGAATAGATTGAAGCAATTAATAGCACAATACTTCCTTTCTCTCTCATTAAATATTAAACATAATTAAAATATTTAATTTTTAAACTAAAATTATAAATCATTAATATAAAAACACTGAATTAAAATTAATTTATAAATCTAACAATATATAAATTTTATTTTTATTATTATATATGCAATATATTTATACTTGAATATATATAATCTTTGTTATAAATTTGAATATATTTCACTATTTTTATTTATTTAATTATCAATTAGGATTTTCGTTGCATGATATACAAAATATCATTATAAATTTAACTTTACAACAAATATTAATTATACAACCAATTATAAAATAATTTTGTAATCATTTTCGTTATTCGTTTTCTTCTCAAAATACAAAAAGTTTTTTATTTGCAGTATTATATCCTTATTATTAGTAACTATTATCTCTTTCATTAATGCCATATATGCATTAAGTAATATAAAATAATATAACATATTATAGATTTTTATGATAATCTCAAAAATATTATCATTTTACACTGAATCTGATCTATTATATCACTTATGAAAAATTATCAAACACTTAATTCAAATAAATTAATTAAATCTATGTACTTGCATTATGAATGTATATGTGTATGCATTTATTACATAACATATTTAAATATTTATAGCTCTAATTTGAAGTTCCATTTTCGAGACAATCAAATGCATAATTCTTATTAATTGGTAATAGAACAAGTGATCAGAAAGTTATACAAATAAAGATAAACTTAAGTTATAAAGATAAAGATAAGAATATAAATAAATTTCCAAATCCAAATATTTCAATAAATATTTGGAAAATTCATGAATATACAATATATTAATATATTCGTAAGATATCTTTAAAAGATCGATTCTAAAGAAAATAAACACAAAAATTGATGTACAAAAATGTTGTGATATGAGACTCATTTATAAACAGTTGAAGTAATTTCAAATGAATAAGATAGAGACATATTAATCAACAATATGATGAAAGTAAAACAGTTTCATTTTATATATGTCTCGCTTCTTAACTTAAATACTTAAAACTCTATAACTAATATTTCTGTATATCAAACAAACTTTTGAACCAACCTTTTAAAAATATTTCACAAACGTGTTAACATTCCGTATATCTAAAATTCATCTCATCTATTTGCTTTTGTTAACATCAACAATAATAAATATATATTTAATTTAATTAATATAAAATATTTTAAAAAATATTCTTCGTTATGATAATCAACTTTGAATAATGAAATATATTTTCTATTATAAAAAAATTAGATAAAATTATTGTATTTTTATCTCTATTAAATAGAATTTATTAACAATTCTTTCAACAAAAAGAAAGAACGATGGGTTGATGATAAATCCCCAGATGAGTTAGATCGGCTACGATCTAGTCAGCCTCTTTAATTATCTTCACTGGGAGTTCATATAAACTACGATAGAGTTCCAGTATCAAGTATATCGTGGGTCAGTATTAACTCTATAAAGCTCATTCTCTAAGTTTTGTAACACAAGACAGAAAGGTAGGAGGAGAGTGGTGGAAATATTAGATATCTTCGTTCGCATCTCAGGGGATAACAAGATACGAGACAGAAATGGTCTGGTTGCACAAATGGGCTCTGTTAACGGCTAACGTGCAACGAAAGGTACTATATCCACTAGCGCAGATTCTAAGAGCAGAGTTTCTTTAAAGGCCGACGCAACCATTGCAACTGTCAGACATTTTATACACTTAATTCGCCGCAAAATCCCGATCGCATAATGAATGCGATGGCAATATAAGACTAACAATCTAATCTTTGCAAGGACGAAAGACCACCGTTATTTAACGAGTTCGTACTTTCTTCCTGATACTTATTTTATTCTGTTTGAAACGAATATGTCTTCCGTATTATGTATATTACAAATATACATCGTTTTAAATATTTGATTTAATTCAATTTTCATTACTATAATCAATTTAAAAAGATGATATTATAATAATTATAATAGTATAATATTATTTTAAATATTATAATAGTATAATTATAAAAGTATAATATCTTTTAATTAGTTTAAATAATTTTATTTATAAATATTTAAACATTATTATTGATAAAAATTTTAGTTATTTTTTTTTTTTTTTAGATTAAAAATATTGTAATGTAATTATTGTAGTTCAATGTTAGGAATAATTAATATTGTTATCTAATAACGAAAAAAAATCGTTCACTTTTAATTATTGCATATTGTTCAAAATTCTAATAAAGATAGAATTGTTTATTTTATAATGATCTTTATAATAATTTTAAAAATGTATTGAATTCATTTTGATATATAGATCAAAATATTTATTTTTCGTACTTAAAAGTTTTTTAACATTTATTCAAAACTAAATTAGTTTTTCAATCTGAAAAAATTAATATAAGTAATTTGAATTTTAATAATGAAATTTTTTATAAAAATTCTTGCAAATAAAAAAAATTCCCAATTTTGTTGCTTTAATTTTAATTAAAGAACAAAATTAAAAAGATATATTATTATATATGTATATTATTTGGAAATAATTTAATGAAAAATTCGTAAGAAGATTCTAGAATTTATTGTTTTTACTGCCAATTCTATAATCTATATTATAATGTTATAACATTATAATTTCTATTATATAAATTTCGACAAAGTTGGAGCACTTAACAACAAAGATTTAATTAAAGGAAATTAAATAACAGAAGATTAATTCGAGGATGAACTTTGGCTGCTTTAATTTTATACATATGATATAATTCAATCTATAGATCGAAGAATTATATTTTATACTTAAAAAATTGAAAAATATCTTTGTTTTTCGAAAAATATTAAATAAATATAAGAAATTCACACATATAAAAAATATTAATATTCATGGAACATCTTAGAATGTCAACTTTGAAGATTAAACATTAAAAAATTGATGTACAAAAATTTCATTTGAGCTTATTAAATTATTTATAAGCAATAATATAATATAATTAAAATAAACGCAATAAACGATTTATTGCTTTAGATAAAATAAAATGAAATTAAAATGCAATGATGTAACCAAGAACTTATAATTTAATTAATAAGCTTCAATCGATTTTTAGATATCAACTTTTATGTTCATTTTGATCTCTAAAATCGAAACAAGAAAGTTTCGCAAATATAGTATATAATTATACACATACAAATTATACATTGTACATTTCTACTTTTATAAAAATATTAATATCTATATAACATCAATAATCATGAATAATGTTGATTCCATCTTATTTAAGGATTCTTACAAGAGCATAAAAGAAATGATAGTTTGTAATAGAGTTTCAGTGAAGAATATATTTTTCAATTATACGTGCTGCACATAATAAAAGTAGAAATCTGTATTCTACGGAGTACGTGATACGCTTTCTTATAAATTTTCTGATGAAAATCATCTGCCTATCGTATTCAAGTATGCAAAATATTTTTTTTCACTCAACGAAATTCAGTCTTATTAATCATTTCAAAAATTCGTATAAAAACAATATATCATACATTCAACTTAATATCTTATTGATAATTACTCTTGTAAATGTAAAATTTTGTGAATATTTTTTAGATTAGAATAATAAATAAATAAACAATTTTTTTAAAGTTATTTTTTAAGTTTATTACTGACATTTTTATTAGCTAAAAGATCAGATAAAAACCACGTTTGTTTATACATATTTAATAAAATATTAAATACATTTAATGAAAATATAATTCCACGTATATGTCTTTTTAATAGGTTGTTTTTTTTTTTGTTTTTTTAACAGATTTACACTGATAAAAGAGCATTTAGTCGAATTTAATCAATTGGCAATGGCGAACGCGGAAGGTTCTGACAATATGTTGAATCGAGTCATGCCAAAAGATAATATTGGATTGGCTGCCTTGCTTAGGACCAAGGAGGCTGCTTGGGATAACGGTAAGTAATATTATAAAACTTACTTCCAAAAATTAACATAATCGATTCCAATAACAAAAAAATTAATATCTTCTGTCTATGAAAAATAAGGAGTAATCATTTGTTCTTCTCAAATGTCATTTCAAAAAATATAGTTGCTATGTATTATTATACAGTTTAAACCTTTATATCATTTGATTAGAAAAAGAAAAAGAATTCAATATTTTTTTAGCTTTTAAAAAAACAGTTTATAATAATTTTATTGTGATTTTTTTCTATTTTTCAAATATGAATATTCTCATATGAATAAATTTACAATTCATTGTAATTGTATTATTTCAATACAATTATAATAATTCAAACTCGAATGAATCGAAAATATATATTAAATACCAAATGACATTTTTGATCATGATATAAAAGTATTCAAATTGCAAAAACAACAATTTAGATAAGTAGATATGTTTGATATCGAAGGAATTGCTTAATTAATTGCAAATCATACTTATGCCAGCGTAAATCGAAGAGCATGTTTGAAAATGGCTGAAGAAGATGAAGTGGCACAAGTTCGTAGACTAGATACACTCAAGCAAGTCTTATAACTCATGACATACAGATACTAAGCTGCCAATTCTATCTCAGGTAGCTATCTAGCAAACATTCCCCTACATGTCACACAATCCACTTTTTTATGAACATATTAGCTCGCAAGTAGAAAGTATCCAAAAATTATATAAAATAGCTATGTATTTGTACACATTACATATCTATCCAGAAATCAATATATCTTTATATTTATCTTAAATTCTTTTTTCTTTTTATCGCATATATTTTCTTTTGCGTGTGTCATTGATATGAAAGGTGTGCTTGTACATCTCTATTTGAAACTATGTATTTCATTAAATATCAAAGCAAAATTAAAAAAAATAATACATTTTATATATATATATATATATATAAAATATACATTTCTTTGTTACATTTTTATTCTTTAATTGTAAATTTTGAATATTAATATTAATCATTATTGTAATTATGCATAAAATAATTTTGCTTGTATGTAATATTATTATTTTTATAATAATAAATTATTTTTATCTCTAATATATAACTGATATAATAAATTTAATATAATTTATTATATATAATAGAATAAAATAAATAAATATAAAAAATATCTAAAAAGAAATAAATAAAATAATTTATCTACTATGATATGATAATTTAAATAATTAAATAGAACAATATAAAAAATTTATAAATTCAAATAACAAGCAATTATTAATATAAATTATTAATAAATATTTATCCATATTAATTTAATTTTTGATAATGTAGAATGTAGGATTGATAATGTAGAAATTTAGCATATATTCTTATTTGCTCATTTTTATGATTCTTATTTTAAGTTGCGCCATCATGTGGCACATATAAGAACTAATACTTATATTGTCATTACTTATCAACGTAATGTGAATGATTGGTAAAGGGAGATTAAAATAAGTTTAAATTAAGAAAAAAATAATAGATTTATATAGATTAAAACATCAAACAAATGTCTGGTTATACGGGAACAGACAATTATTGGGGACAATCTCCCCAAGGACAATATAATTTTGATCCCTCTGGTTTTGGTCAACCTAACCAACAATTCGAATTTCAAACGTATAATGATCAACAATCTGGAGATTTTTCTTACACGCAAAAAAGTTATCTTGATCCTACACAAAGTGCATATACTGGTGGTAGGTATTGTCAAGATGATTTCAAGAAAAATTCAGAATTTGTAAAATCATAAAAAAATAATATATTATATTTATTTAGATAATTTTTATTAGATTTAATATATAAATTTTAGGATCAACCGGATTCGTAGATGAAGAAGAAGAACCACCTCTTTTAGAAGAATTAGGCATAGATCCAGATCGAATATTACAAAAAACATTAGCTGTATTAAATCCATTTCATAGGAAAGGACAAATAGATGATGCAAATTATTTACTTCAAGATTCAGATTTAGCAGGGCCAGTAGCATTTTGTTTAATCCTTGCTACATTTCTTACATTAGCCGGTTCAAAAGCACATTTTGGTTATATTTATGGTTTAGCAATGACTTCGTGCATTTTTATGTATATTCTTCAATCATTAATGAGTACTTCTACTAATATTACATTATCTTCTGTAGCATCTGTATTGGGTTATTGTTTATTACCAGAAGTAGTTCTTGCTGGTCTTAGTATTTTCACAACTTTACAGGCTACAATTGGTCTAGTCCTTGCTATGTTTGCTGTTGCTTGGTCAACACTTTCTGCATCTAGACTTCTTACAACTATGTCAGGAGAAGAAAATCAGCGATTACTTATTGCTTATCCTTGTGGTTTACTTTATGGGGTTTTTACATTAATAATAATATTCTAAAACAAAATTTATTCATTTTTAAAAACTTTTTATGTAAAAAAATTTCATTTTTTAAAATATACGTAATTTAATATAATATGTAATATACATATAAATAATTTGTGATTATATCATTTATACAATATGAATAATTATAAGTATTAATCAGTATATATTAAAAACTAAAATTGTTATTTAATTATCATTTCTTATAAATATAGATTTATATGTAATGACAATGCAATTAAAATGTATATACATTTTAAGTTTTTTGTTAATTCTTATAAAAATGCTTGTTTTTAAACTTACTGATTTTTATATGAAATTTATGAAGTTGTATAAAGAAGTAAATTTTATTTAATCATTATTAACAATTATTATTAAATATTTAAAAATGAAAAGATATTATTCTAAGTAATTTATTGATGAACAAAGAAGACCTAAACTTTGTGATTTAATTTTGATAAAATAATTTTTTATATTCGAGAATTTATATAATATAAAAATATTTTTTATCAATTTAGTCTTCAAATTCATAAAAATTTTAACAAAATATACATTTAATGATCATTTCTGTTTCAATATTTATCATAAATATAATAAAAATATTTGTATTATAAATAATTTGATAATTAATTTTTTATCTTATAGAAAAATAAAAAGAATGTAATTACAATATTTAATTAAAAAATCAACAATTTTGATATTCAAACAATTATTAACATTTCAAGTTTAAAATTATCCTTAAATATATATTTTTTTTTTTCGTTTTATATGGATATTAGTAATTTTCTTAATAAATTCCTTCGGTATTCTCTTAATTAGAATAAGTAACTTAATTTAAAAAGAAAATCACAAAAATAAGCCATAATAAAAATATTTCAAAATATTTCTATTATTTGTTCTGTCATAAGATTTCTTATAACGAACTATTATTTAAAAACTAATATATAAAAATAAAAAATTCTTCCCAAGATCATATTTTTATAAATACTATATATTTTTTATTTTATTATATTGTTTGACATCAAAAAAGAAAAATATTCTAATAATTTATACAGATTTAAAATTGACTAACATTTTGAATTTAAAAATTTAGATTTAATCCATGTAAATATTAATATTAGTAATATTATTTTATTAAAATTAAATTAAATGTTCAAAATAATGACTTTTATCATTAATATATACAGCATTAATTATTTTATAATTAATCGAACAATTCATTATTATAAATTGAAATCATATATGAGATCTCTTTAAAATTTTTATATATTTATTTTCTGACTACCATCTTTCAATAAAAAAACAATAGTATTATATATTTTTGCAACAATGAAAATATAACAATTTTAAATTTGTATTATTTATATTGATATTGTTAAAATCAACATTGAAAAAAGTTTTTATGATTCTTAATAACTAATCGATAAAATTTACCTATTATTTTATAAATGAAATAAAAGTATAATTATTATATAGATAATCTAAAAATAAAATAAAATTTGAAAATGATCTCTACTTGACCATAAATATTTTTAAATTATTATTATTTAATAACTAGGATATTCATTTTTTTTTTTTTGAATAGTCAGAATTTAACGAATTAATTTAAATTTAATTTTCCGAAAATAGGATGTTTTTGATAAATTATTGTTTTTTTCTTTTTATATTATATCTACAAAATTAAATTCCGCTTTTCTTAAAAATTACATAAACTTAAAAATACACTTACAGAAGTATTATTTATTTTTTTTCTTTCAACAATTTTTCTTTCATTAAAATAATTCATTCATATAGTTGAACTTTTGAAATCTATTGATATGTATATTCTACCGATCTTGTATAAGCCAATTCAACAGGTTTATTTTGAAAATACCTATATTTATTCGATGAATCAGTCATTTTATTTTTATTATTTAATATAATCGGTTTTTTGTTGAATCTGTAACATATTTCTGCGAAGAAGCAAGTGGACTTTATTTTTATCTAGATAAACGAATTTTATCAATAATTTTTTTTTTCTTACTAAGTCTTCATGATCGCTAATTAAAAATATAATGATGATTAAAAATCTACTTCTTTTTTTAATCATGTATATATCTAAAATTTTTCAAAATTTTGCTAATGTTAAGAAATAATCAATATTTCTGATCATATTACTATGTTAAACTATATTAATATTAAAATATATCATATTATATAATATAATTAATTGTATATGTTAATTCTATACACATATATAATTAATTATATATATGTTAAAAAATATTTATTATCAGTTATAATTTACTTATATAAATATATATATGTAAATTTATATATATAAATTTTTTAATAAAAATATATAATTTTATATTTTTCAGGCCTTCCATCTGATCCAGCACAAGTTCAACAACCAATTTTAGTTTGCACAGCACACATCCATTGGGATCCAGAATTTTGTGACGTTAAATTAATACAAACAATGATGCTCAGTAATGAATTACGTTCCATTTTGGACCAAGCTGGCCAGTCTTTCAGACCTGGTCACAAGCCTGATTCTTCCAATGTTCAACTATTACTTTGTGGTGATTTCAATTCCTTACCTGATTCTGGTAAAGCATATTCTATTTATTAATTTTTTATAATATATATATATATGTGTCTGTATTTATAATCTATTATCTTTTAATATATATTATTAACATATGAAATAGAGCATCTAAAATCACTTGAATAAAAATTGCTTTCAATAATAGAAAAAAAATGACATTAAATGACTTAAATTTGGCTCTTAAATTTTTTATAAATTTATATTTTTATTTAGTTCCTGATGTTTTAAAATGAATACAATAAAATGTTTTGATGTTTTAAGATGTGATGATTTAAGAATACAATAAATTATTTAATATAATTATAATGTTGATCTAAAAATAATCTATCAAAAAATAAATCCAAAAACATATTTGAATTTTAAAAAAATAAAACTAATTTTCATATCTTCTCTATATCTTCATTTATAAAAATATTATACATCTTATCTAGATTATATTCCTCTGAAAATCGAATAAATTAATTTGAAATATTTTTTTCTATTATAAAAAGACTTATTCAAGAAATCTGTTTTAGATGTTCTACTTTATGTATATAATTATTAATATTTGAAAAATTTTATAAATATTAAGTATTGCTTTAAATATCAATAAATTTAATTTTAACATTTTTAATTTTATATAATTACTAATTTATTTCATTAAATATATAAAAGTTTCTAATATGAAAATTTTTTTTATTATTTATTATTATTATTATTTTTATTATTATATCTCATATTTCTTTATATTTATATTTTATATATTTTTTATATATTTAAAAATTTGTTTAGGTGTAATTGAATTTCTTACTTCGGGACGAGTAGCGGCTGATCACCGTGATTTTAAAGACTTAGCTTACAAATCATGCTTACAAAAGATCTCTGGTTGCGATAAACCTAATGAATTTACTCATTCTTTTAAACTTGCATCTGCATATAGTGAAGATATTATGCCCTATACTAATTATACGTAAGTTTTTTTATATATTATGTTAATATATTTTTTCATTTTATATAAAATAAAAGTTAAGAATTTTTTCTTTCTTTCTTTCTTTCTTTT